CCATGACAGAATTGACAGAGTCGGAGGGTACCTCGGAGGTCATCTAGCCCAGCCCCCTGCTCTAGCAGGAAACTGGGACAGAATTAACAGAGTCTGAGGGGACCTCGGAGGTCTTCTAGCCCAACCCCATGCTCTAGCAGGAGAACGGGGCAGAATTAACAAAAATCGGAGGGGACCTCGGAGGTCATCTAGCCCAACCCTCTTCTCTAGCAGGAGATCGTGACAGAATTAACAAAGTCGGAAAGGACCTCGGAGGTCATCTAGCCCAACCCCCTGCTCTAGCAGGTGATCATGACAGAATTAACAGTGTCCGAGGGGACTTTGGAGGTCATCTAGCCCAACCCCCTGCTCTAGCAGGTGATCATGACAGAATTAACAGAGTCAGAGGGGACATCAGCGGTAATCTAGCCCAACCCCCTGCTCAAGCAGGAGACCGTGACAGAATTAACAGAGTCGGAAGGGACCTCAGAGGTCATCTAGCCCAACCCCCTGCTCTAGCTAGGGTTAGGATTATTAGGCTTTATGGTTCTGGAGATTTTGCAATGATGTGTGAGGAGCATTTCGGTTTTAAATATAGATGCAGCTGTATTGATTAAACTTCCTCCCTCTTTCCTCCCAGGTCTGCTATTACTTCTGTTGCCTGGTGAGGAACCTGTGTGGAGGTCCGGCCCCCACCAAAGGTGAGGAATGCGTCCGTGTGGATAGGTGGTGATGGCAGAAATTGGGGTGGGGTGGAACAACTTCAGTCGAAACCCTTTTTTGAATATTAGTAAAGTACTGTACGTAAGTAATTCAAGCGAGTGGTGCGGTGGCCCAGAGGTGGTGCCCTCGCTTCACAATCAGGGGGCTTTGAGTTCGATCCTGGGTAGAGGCCGATATTTCTCTCTCTGGGCACAATGAGAATATACCTGCCGAACAGAACTCCGCCCTGGCGACAGGAAAGGCAACCGGCCAGTAAAACATTCGGCTCCCTTCAGGTGCAAGGGATTACAGAGTCATTAAAAGAGGACGAGATGAGTAAGTTCAGCCTGTACTTCCTGATGTCACCCTGAAGCTTGGGAGGGGAGGGGGGGTTTGTTTCGCTCTCAGCTCCTTCCAAAATTAGCCCTTTTAATTTAAAGCTGATTTTAATTCAATTAAAACCAGGAGGGTTTCTTGCCAAACTGGCCCTTCAAGTTCTTCCAATTCCCAGGAGGAAACGCCTCCCTTCCCTTTCCTCTCCCATCATGGCTGCCTCAAAGATGCTTCCCAACCCCCAAGTGGAAACCGGACTTTCTTTGATTTTCTTTGAAGACGTTTCGCTTCTCATCCA